TGAAACGTTTTCAGAGATAGGGCGTTTTTCAATATATTTCTGAAATAAGACGTTTTTGAAAAGTGTTCTGAGATAGGACGTTTTCGAACTGGCTGCCGGGATAGGTCGGTCTTCCACTCACTGTATTGTAAATACAATACAAATTGCTATTTATTTTTCGTTCATGTTCAACAAAATAATACAAATAAAAAATTAAAAGTTTTTAAAGTCATGTTTTTAGTTATTTACGCCGTGTCATATAAAATTTGTCGCTATGTGTCGTGATTTTTCGGACTTTGTGTGAAAAACGCATAACGTAAAAGGTATGTCACAGATAAACGCCGGATAATCCCTTTCACTTTGTTGCATATACAAGAATGAAAAACTATCGATATAAGTAGGTATCGATACTTTCGGTTTGCTCATATAAGTATTGTCGAAATAACGATTTGAGTAAACTCATTTAAGTAGGTATCGATACTTTGATTGTATCGGAACGTCCCTATATATGAGTAGGCCATCATGAATACAGAATAAGCAAATTAAAATTGGTTATTTTCATTTGGCGTAAGCGAGGTATTGCATACATGTGTTCTATTTATTTTATTATGCAGTTGATTTTGAACCTGTATAACAAATTTTTATTCTCCACTATCAATCTCACCTCTTTTCGGTTTGTACCCATACAATTCTAGTACAGGCATACCGTCCTCCATAAAACGCTGAACCTGCTGCCACTTTTCCGCATTGACGCCATCTCCCCTAGCCTCGTTAGCTAATGACTTAACATCTGGTATAACTTTGTTCTCTATATATTTAATATTTTTTAACGATGGATCCAGTTGTGTGCTTGCTTCAGCGCCAGCTGCATCGGCAGAAGCATTAGCAAAAGTTGAGGCACAAAGTAGCGCCAACGTAAGGTATAGCGACGATGGTCGCTTGAGGGGTTTTTGTCCCATGTTGTGCGACTTTTTTACTCACTCGCGTTGTAATATAGATGTATGTTGCCTTATTTCATATGTATGTGCGTATACTTGTTTTATTTTTTGTATCTCAGTATTAAAGAAAGAACTTTTTCCTTCGGTTGTTGATTTCTCCAAATATGTTTTTGTTATGTCACTACAATTTTGTTCATTATTACGCAGGCGTTGTAGATGCTCATTTGAAATTATGTGCGCTTGTTAGCATTACATTGCTTGTTCACTGCGAATACACAAAAGATAAATGTTAGAAATGATTAGATTCATTTAAAATAATTTTATATACATATACATATTTATGTACATATTATGTAGAAGTGTTTAGTTGAACCGCCAAAACTGTCTGTGAATTAATATTTATGCTCCCGCCCTGTAGGGAAACCGGGGACTAGTGAATCGAATTTCTAGTTCCGTACTAGGTCTTTATCGCCAAAAACGAACTAGTCCGATAGGAACTAGATCCCCACCAGGCCAAAATCGGCGAAAATTGGTACTTTTAAAAAACTAATTTTTTCAGTTTTTTTTACTACATAGAAATCTATATCTAAAGTGACGAATTTAGAAATAGTTCGGAACTATAGAAAAAGGGATGCAGAACGAACTAGATCTTATTTGTCGAATTTAGAACCAGCTCGGAACTATCGAAAAAGGGATGCAGCGGGGGG